TGTTTATCAATAAAACTTTGAAAAGAAAAAAAAACATACAGGCTTTCTTTTGGTTTTTTAATTAATTTTATTGAGAAAAAATTGCAATGTGACAGCTTTAAAACAGGTTGGTAGAAAAAAAAAACAGGTTAGTAGGAGAGTTACAATAATTATTGCATTGCATATTGTTGTCCATGTAGTAGTCATTCATAACACAAGATGCAGACATGATATCCTGTCCAAACACTATTAGTACAGATCTTTCTTCTTATTGAATTAGGAGAAAGTAGCTATAAATTTATCCTAACTATTTTGTATAAACAGATACAAATGGTCCTTCATTTATATCACCTTTTTTTGTTCAGTTTTGTCAGAGATGGGTATTCCATTGCCATCCAAATATTGTAGGTGCATGAATTCAGCAAAATATTCCAATATAGTCCAGTAGTCCACAATAGTAGTGGGTTATCCACAGGACTGGCAATGTCTGAATCTAATGACTTGAGCCTTCCACAGCTCAGCATATTATCATGGCTTAACTTTTCATACCTCATTTCTACACTTTTCTGCTGGATGGTTAAAACAAGGATAAAGCAAGATCTATATGACAAAAAAATGTAACTTTTGTATCTGACACATTCAGTCAAGTCCCCTCAGGACTGTAGGGCACTTTGTAGAACCTTTGTCACATAGTTATTTATTTAGATGAACTGACTCATGCTGATCCTTTGACACTGTTAGTTGTCACTGGTACATTGGCTCATTCAATTATTCATGCATCTACTCATTCGTCTATCTTTGAACTAGGTTTCATTCCCTAATCTGCAGTCTTTCAGTCAATGCTTCGTTCATCTATCATTCCTGCACTTACTGAGTTCATAACTCATTTATTCACACAAGATTTGCTTTTTATTCAAATCTTTCATCCATTTATTTATTTATTTACTAATACCTTCACTAATTTATTCACTAGACAGTGCCCTATAAAACTAGAACTTATGTGATTATATAAGTTTCCTATGTACTATTTACTAATAGGTTAATTCATCTTTATATGATTGATAAATCATATATA